ATCATAAAGAGAACATCTGAAATATTGTGAGAATTCTAAAATGTGTTACAGAGACACAAGTGAGCACATGCTTTTGGATAAATGGCACCAATTGACTTGCTTGACATAGTTGCCACAAAGCTTCAATTTTGGTTTTAAAACAAAAAAGCAATACCTGTGAAGTGCAAGAAAGCAGACACAATAAAACAAGGTCAGCCTATATATTGTTGGTAGTTAGATCAATAAAATACAAACCTACTTTAAAACATTCAGAATTAAAGTAGCTTTTATATGTCTACTATTCATCAATATGGCAAAAAATGGGAATCTTAACTGGGCAATGTTGGAAAACCCTGAGTAAACTACAGTCATGTGTTATTTAATCACAGGGATACATTCTGAGAAATGCATTGCTGGTTGGTTTCATCATTGTGTGATTATCATGGGATATACTTACACAAACCTAGGTGATATACATTACTATACACCTAGATGATATGGTATTGTCTATCACTCCTAGGCTACAATCCTGTAATATACCTACTATATACTGTAGGTAAGTACAACAAGTGAAAAGTATCTTCATATCTAAACATACCCAAACACAGGAAAGGTACAATTAGAATATATTATAATATTATTGGACCACTAATGTATATGTGGTCTGTTGACTGAAACATCAAGTGACGCACAGCTGTATCTTTTTTTTTTTTTTTGTGAGTCAGAGTATCATTCTGTCACCCAGATTGGCGTGCAGTGGCATGTTCATGGCCACCGCAGCCTCGACTTACTAGGCTCAGGCAATCCTTCCGCTTCAGCCTTCCAAGTAACTGGAACTACAGGTGTGCACTACCACGCCTGGCTTATTTTTTGATTTATTGTAGAGATGAGGCTTTACCAAGTTGCCCAGGCTGGTCTAGAACCCCTGAGCTCAGGCAATCCTCTCGCCTCAGCCTCCCAAAGTGCTGGGATTACAGGCTTGAACCACCGTGCCCAGCTCAACTGAATCTTAACATTTGAATTTGATTTGTAGGTTTGCATCTTCTATGAGCAAAAAAAAAAAAATTTTAATTTGATTCATAAAAATTAGTCAATTTGTAAATTATAAAGTTAATACTTTATACAACATGATGAACATGATAACCATTTAACAAATTAGTTAATGATTTGACTAAATAAAGGAAGCGTTTTATTATTATGGTATTTTAGCTTATGCTGGCTTCCTTCAAATAGGTATAGTTATAGCTATAAAATTTTTTCTTTTTTTGCTTCTCAATTAAAATGTTTTTTGCACAGTTAGATTAGAAAATATAGTGTATTTAGAAAGTAAACAAGAGACATTGCCTCTTAATTAAATGAGTTACAAATTTCTACTATGAGATAGGATTTCTTTAAAACAAAAACTATCATTTTATTTTAATATATTGGGTCCTAAGTGGGCTTCTTAGCAGCCAACAGACACATGAAGAAATGTTCAACCTCACTAATCATCAGGGAGATGCAAATCAAAACCACATTGAGATACTACCTAACTCCAGTCAGAATGGCAATTATCAATAACTCAAAAAATAATAGTTGCTGGAGAAGGTGTGGCAAAAGGGAACACTTCTACACTGTTGGTGGGAGTGTAAACTAGTGCAACCTCTGTGGAAAGCAGTGTGGCGATTCCTAAAAGCTCTAAATATCAACCTCCCATATGACCCCGCAATCCTCCTACGGGGAATATACCCTGAAGAACTCAAATCACTCTATAAAAAAGATGCCTGCACACGTATGTTTATTGCAGCATTGTTCACAATAGCAAGAACCTGGAAGTAACCATGCTGTCCATCAAAAGAGGACTGGATTAAAAAATGTGGTACATATACATGATGGAATACTATGCAGCCATAAAAAAGAACAAAATCATGAATTTTGCAGCAACCTGGATGGAACTAGAGTCTGTAATACTGAGTAACCTTTCACAGAAACAAAGATCTGAGTATCACATGTTCTCACTCATATAGTGGACCTTGATCATCCAACGTACTACCATAAGAAAATGACTGCCAGGCTCGGTGGCTCAGACTGTATCCCACGCCTTTGGGAGGCTGAGGTGAGTAGATTGCTGAGCCCGTGGGTTCAAGACCTGCCTGGGCAGCGAGACCTCATCTCTACAATAGATAAAAAAAAAAAAAATCAGCTGGGCGTGGTAGCGCATGCCTGTATTTCCGGCTACTTGGAAGGCTGAGGCAGAAGGATCATCGGAACCCAGCAGGTCGAGGCTGCGGTGGCTGGGAGCAGTCACTGCACTCCAGTCTGGGTGGCAGAGTGAGACTCCAACTCAAAACAAACAAACAAACAAACAAACAAAAAAGAAAATGACTGACAGTGGTGGGAAACTATGGTGGGGGAGGGGAAGGGAGATGGGATTAATGGTAGTAAATATCTGTCTGGGGACAGGGAGACACCTCTTATCAACAAGGGTGCCTGAATGAAGCATATTTGTATACCTAACCCTTAACTGTACCCCACAACATCATAATAAAAAATACTGATTATTAAAAAAAAAAGAATTTTGAAAAAAACTTTTTAACTCCAGAGAGCTTCATATCTAATATAATTAATGAACTACTCACTATTATTTTGCATTGAACTCCAAAATACCATCTTTAAACTATGCTCAGAAAAGCAGTACCTGTTCCTTTTCTTGTCCTACTAGGTTATTTAAGTAAAATAGCTACTGGATACCTGTTTTTGACACAAGTTTTTTCTAGTAGCTCATTCTCAGGGGGCAGGGCATCTTTTAATTGTCTCAAGGAATTCAGTGGTTCAGTAAAAGAGGCTTCTTTTAATAAAATTTTTCCACTTAAGGTCCTGTATCAATTTTCATTTGAGTAAATCTTTTTCTCAGGTGTCCTCTTATGTGATTTCACATGATACAATCTCAAGATCTCATAAACTGGTGATTTTTCCAAGTTCTTTTACTAAAGTGAAAGCTTTGAAAATCTATACTTTCATAACTGTTTTTCTATTTCACTCAGCATTTAGTACTACTTTTTGTGAATTTAAGAAATCTAACTATTAGCATTTAAACATTTTCCTATTTATAAGGATTTGAGTGAGAAAATCATATTGTAAGAAGTAAAAATGGATGTTCTTTATAAAGGGTCGTTATGCTTTACAATGTTCTGCCCGATGTCTTAAAAGAACAGATATTCCCTCTGAGTGCTTAGTTTAACCAAAATAGAAGAAATCCCTGGTGGAGATTGGGAATTGCTGGGTACCCTCCTCTTTTTCCTTCTTTAGGAAATTTTTTTTTTTTTTGAGTTGGAGTCTCACTCTGTCGCCCAGACTGGAGTGCAGTGGCCACTTCCGGCCACTGCAGCCTCAACCTGCTGGGCTCCGGTGATCCTTCCGCCTCAGCCTTCCAAGGAGCTGGAAGTACAGGCGTGCGCTACCACACCCGGCTAATTTTTTGATTTATTGTAGAGATGAGGTCTCACCAAGTTGCCCAGGTGGGTCTCGAACCCACGGGCTCAGGCAATTCACTCATCTCAGCCTCCCAAGGCACGGGATTACAGGCTGAGCCATCAAGCTCAGCTTTTTAGGAAATTTAAAGTCAGAACTAGCCCTAACAGCTTTGTAAAGTAGTAATATTTTATTTTGATACTTTACAAACCATTTATTGAGTTTGGCAGTTATAATTTTAAAAGTTAACAGATTGCTTAAGACTATTTAAAATTGGTCCTGTTTATTTAAAGCACATGTTTACATGTGTTTAGGCTGCTGAACAAAATATCATGAGCTGGGTTGCCTCTAATCAACAGAAATTTATTTCTTGTGGTTCTGGAGACTGAGAAGCCCAAGGTGAAGGTATCTGTTGAAGGCCCGGCTTCCTCATAGTTTTCTCAGTCTAACTTCACATGGCAGAGGGGTAAGGAATCTCTGGGGTCTCTTTTATAAAGACACTAATCCCATTTATTAGGGTTCTGCCCTCATAACCTGATCACCTCCTAAAGTTCCCGCTTCTTAATATATCACTTTGAGAGTTAGGATTTGAACATATGAATTTTAGGGGAGCATATACATTCGATCTATTACAGTTTATGAATGTGTATTTTCAGCTTAAATACTTTCCATAGAGCACTAAATTTTTTGAACATATCCTTAGACATCTGCTTCTAACGAATGTTCAAGGGACATAATTACCGATCTCACAATGGACATGGGAAATGCAAAATTGCACACTTGTTAAATTGTAAGGGATAATGTGTTTGCTCTATGCCAGTTGAGAGTGAAGTCTCCTCTCCTGCCTGTTTGGTTTCTACTTTGGGCGATGACATGAATGTGATGTGGGCCTTGACTGTCATCTGATGGAACTAGCCATAGGACTGGATTATATTTTAATTGTAGAAACTGTGTGATCCTTTTCACCTGTCAGTTTTCCCATTGCATATACCTTGTGGAGGACATGGCTTTAAAAGACTCACTGAGTGATATTTGCTTATTATTCACTTTTATTTAAATGTTTACTTAATAAAAAAACATGATTAAACAAATATGCACCCGAAACTTTGACTGCGGTCTTGTTTAGAAATGTTTCTGCTTTGACAGGATGACTTTGTATTGGTTGCCAAAACAACTTCTAATAGACTCTCTCATGTATAATTCTCAAACTTTCAAATGAAGGGATGGGATATTCTTTAAGTTCACTGTCCCCAGACTGGCAGTATTAATATCACCTGGGAACTTGGTGGAAACTCAAATTTTGGGGCTTCACCCCAGACCCACGGAATCAGAAACTCTGAGTGGCATCCAGCAATCTGTGTGATGCTCTAAGCCCTCTGGAGGATCCTCAGGTTTGGGAACCAATATTGCAGTTATAAACTATGTCCTGTAAATATCATTTGGGTATTGTTAAGCATGCATTAAGATGTGTAAGGCAAGGGGTGATGATGGCTCATGAGTCAATTTTAGATTGACTACTAAGTTCTGAGTTATGTAAAATCCTCTAAATGTGTATGTGTCCTCTTCCCCAGAAAATCACATTTTGGAGGATGTGAACAAATGTGTGATAGCCCTCCAAGAGGGGGATGTGGACACTCTGGACCGGACTGCAGGGGCCATCAGAGGTCGAGCAGCTCGCGTCATACACATCATCAATGCTGAGATGGAAAACTATGAAGCTGGTGTTTATACTGAGAAGGTCCTGGAAGCTACAAAATTGCTTTCTGAAACAGGTAAGCATGGATATATGATCTGGCCAAAATGTTAATGCTGTGAATTATTTTTATATCTGAATAAATTGATGTCATTTTTTTCTGTAGGCCTTTATGTCTTTAAATTGCTCATAGTCACGGAAGGGGAGAAGTGCTTGAATGATCACTTTGTTTCTTGAGTTGAATTTGAATAATTTTAGGAGAATGACAACTTCATTGTTTTTCATGTATATATTGCATTACAGTTTTTATATATAATGTCATTTGATTTTTCACAACGACTTCAGGAAGTAGTCAGAAAAATTGTATTATTTCCATTACAAAGGAGTTTTGAATCAGCCAAGAGGTTGAATGGCTAGAAAATAGTGCAGATGTGATAGGAACTTGGAATCTAGAACCTAATGTTATTTATCCATTCTTTGCTTGAGTGGGTAGGACCTTGAGGAAGAACTCTGTACAACCAGTGGAAAGCATAAAGTCTCTAGGTAGTGCATAAATAATGGAGTACTCAAAGAAAGGAGGTGATGGCTACTGAAAAATAGTTAGACTTTCAGTATATTCCCTTTTAGGAGAGCTTTACACATCCATCGTCAGGAGCATTTGGCTGCCCACTGGGGACTCACTGCTGTGGCAATGCATGGTTACTTATGGGAGTTTGTCAGTGCTCTCAGGTGCATTGGATAGGAAAAGAACATCTTACTTCTACCGAATTAGCAGAACAACCTACAGCTTTGAAGAGTGTGTCAAAGACTGTACTATTTTTAGTAGATGTTTGCTCTTGACTAATGTCTTGTGTATTTTTACATATGAGAATAGAGAAGAAGCTCAGAGAATGAGAAAAGATTCGGGGACGGAGAAAGAGATAATCTAAGTCCATGATGAATGAGTTTTTTATTTTTTTATTTTTTAGAAAGCAGGATTTATTAAGAGGACAGAAAAACTCCCACAGTGAGAAGGGCCCCAATGGTTGAGTTTATTAATGAGTAGTGAATTGAGTCTTATGTATACACAGAAGAAGCTCTCCACTCAAACCCTAACAGGGGTTTTCTTGGGTTTGCATATGAACTTTGAACGCCACTAGGCATTTTAAAAATAGGTATCTCTAAAAGGTCAGACAAAGCAGTGTTCTAAGTTCTGCGTGCTAAGACAGGCTGGTAGAAATATGTTGCTTTCTACAGAGAAAAGATTATTTACAAAGACTTCTGTAGATATTTTTTAACAAGGAAAAAACAATATATAAACACAGGCACTGGTCCTTCTCTCTGAAATATAAGCAGAAAAGGAATAGTATAGTGTCATGGAATAAAGAAACCATGTAGAGATTGTTGCTCTTGAGAGGATTCTTACAGATCTAAAATTAGAAATAACAACAACAATAATGATAATAAGATATAGTTGCATTTGAATTAGCTGAGATTCAGCACGGTTTCCTTCCAAATAGGCTTGCCTTTTGTATTTAATAGAGCAACACAAAGCAAGTCATATAGTATTTATTTCCTCACTTGGAGGAGTTGGAAAAAAGACATTTTGCTCTCTAAATTAAGGCCTCTTTAAAATATTTAAGAAGTCCTTCTTATATTTCTGTGGCACTCAGCTCCTGACCCATTAGTCATTCTTGAATACAGTCTCATCTTCATCAGTCACAGAGTAACACTCACCTGGATCTGGTTCTGGACAAAGAGTGTGAGAGAAGGTATAAGACTTGGAGGCAGGACTCAACTCCTGTCTGCTCATAACTGGTTGGAAGAACACTTGTGGCAGATAAACAATACAGAGCACATTGCCAATATTACTGTGATTTTGTGACCACGAAGAGTTCAGGCACTGTTCAAAAGACATTTTAGAATTTTTTCGCATTGTATCTTAGGCTGCTTTAACAACAGGAATGGAACTTATTAGGGTCAAAATCTACTTAAAGACAAGGGCAATTGTTTAGTTGATTGAAATATTTTAACATAATTTTCACCCAAAGTCTTGATGGGTAAATAATTTCCTGGTTGATTTATCTGCTAAAAAAATCAAGGAAACAGTCACTCTTCCTGGATTGTTGTTGTTAATCAAGAATTTTGTTCTTACCTGTTCAGAGCATTTAAAATTTCCACCCCAGCTTGTTCTTGTAATAATTGAGCACGCTGGGGACTTAACAAAAGGCACCTTCCTTATTTTGATGTCCACATCCAATTCCTAAATGAATAGAGTAGATGAGCAAGACATGGGATTCTGCTTTTCAGGGTCTATTGATGATCACTAGGGAAGTAACTGAGTAAAGATTTATTTAGTTTGTATACAGGTGTAGTGGAAAACATAGGAATGCATGGCAAGGAAGTACAGATGTCAGTGGACAAAGAACTAGAATATATATGATGGTTTATCTTTTTTTGGTTTCTTTCCCCAACTGTTCTTCTCTTAAACACACACTATTATTCCTTTGTGAGTAACTAGAGGTTGCCAAAGAAATGAAAGAAAAGAAAGAATCAGTGTTAACTCACTGATTGCTAATTAGACAGAGTTGCTGGGGAATGTGCTTGCATAGACTTGACTCATGGAATTTGAGGAAGACCACAGGACCAGTTCTGTGATTATAGGTGTACAAAGTTTTGATACACACACACACACACACACACACACACACACACACACACGCACGCACACATGCGTATTGTATAACTATATATATAGTCTAAAGTGAATTCATTCTAAAGTAAAGGTTTGTCTGTGCTCAAGAGGCATATATCCTCAAAATAAAAACTCTTATGCATGTCACTGATGTCCAATTGTCTACCTTTGGGTTAATGTTTTATTTCCTATTTTTTAAAAAATGTAGAGTCATATTGAATCGCCCACTTTTCTATATGAGCTTATCAAATTTTGTCCTGAGATTATATTTTATTTGGGGCAAGAAGAGAGGGATAGTGGGTGAGAAGGGGAAAATTCCAAGAAGAAGAATGATGAAAAAGGAGACAAAATGGCGTGTGTGTGTGTGTGTGTGTGTGTGTGTGTGTGTGTGTGTGTGTGTGTTTGCCTAGTCACACCGACTAGGTCCTGCCCAGTTACTTATTTATTTGTTTTTAAAATCTGAGTCATTAGATTCAAGACCCTAAGTCAGAAGTTCTTAACCTCTGTGCTGTTGACACTTTGGTCTGAGTAATTGTCCTTGGAGAGAAGGGACTGGGGCTGTTCTGTCCATTATAGGATGCTTAGCAGCATTCCTGGATTCCACCAACTAGATGCTTGTAGCATTCTCTCCTCAACCTCACCAAGTCGTGACAACCAAAATGTCTCTAGACATGGCCAGATATCCTTAGGGATGGGAGCAGTGGACAAAATGATACCCTCTGAGCATCACTGCCCTAAGGTAAGGAAATATTTCCCAAGAGGGACAATTTTAAACAGGGCAGAATGAAGCCTATATATTGTAGACAGAGAGGATGGTGAAGGTAGTATGGTGGGCATATATTACAAGGAAGAATCCATAAAAATGCAGAATGTTGAACTAGATGTTCCTGCTAAAGGTGTCTACACACACAGGCTGGCACCTGTGCAGTCTTGTGAATGGCTGCGCTGCAGGGGTGTGTTCTGCAGGGAGACTCCCTCTTTCCCACCTGGCTGCCCTTGCTGACTGGCTACGAAATTGAGAGGTATCCAAAGAGTGGAAAAACTGTGCTTTATTTTGTATGAATTATTATTTTTTCTTCAGGGAAGCTAGCGCTTTGCTGAAGAGTGCTTTTTCTCTTGATGCAAATGAATTAAATTTAAGGAAATAATTTTGTGGATTATTACTATACTAAGATGATAGGGAAGCATTATGTAAAAAAATTGCCTATTTGTTTTTATGAAACTAATCTGGGCTGATGGAAACACAATAAATTGAATCCATAGAGTATCCATTAAATATTTACATGGCATATTTGATGAGCTCTTCAATAAAACTTAAATTATAACAAATTGCCAACAGCTTGGGTAGTACGTACACACTTGACCAGACCCACCTTCATGGATCTCATTAACAAAGTCAGGTTGCTGCAGAAGGCTGAGGGGGTCAAACGTACGTTCAAGTTACATAGAGTGGCTCATTCCCCCACTGAATGGATTGTATTGAAGCGTCATTTTTGTAAATTTGATTGCTGATGGAAGTTTGTGGCCGTGGGAACATGATTGGGTTGAGAGATCTTTGAGATTCTGCCATACAGTCATTCTTCAGAGGAAACAATAGACTGAAAAAAGAGGAAAGAAATAGAAAGAAAATAAAGCATATTTAAATGAGGGTTCTATGTTATTGAGCACTCTGTATGCATTCCATTATTTTAGAGAGCACGTGGGCCAAACAGATGGTATCATGTTTAACTTCATGCTCTGTAACCTAAAGTTTTATAAGATTAAGAGAAATATAAATATATATATATATATATATATATAATCTTTGTACATTTTGCCTTGAAAATGTAAAAGGATCAGCAAATACCATCCACATTGGAAATTGTATTGAGGGGCACATTTGCACCAGGACAATGTAGTAGAATGAATCTGGATTAGGACTCAGATTACTTGACTCAAGTACTGCATGACTGCCAATGAACCGGTACCCTCAACAAATTAATTAATGGCTTGGAACTCAATTTTCTCCTGTATTGCAGTGATGTTTCGTCATCCAAGGATAGTCAATGTTATTAATTGTAGTGGCATATATGCATCATTGTTCCTGGCTTCCTGGTGACAGCACTCAACATGAATAATCATTGCCCATGAATTTTCTGTGTAAGTCCTCTGCTCCATCTGGATCAGTGCCTTCATTATTCTCCAGGCAAAACACACCCACACTGCTCCCTCTGTCCTCCCTGTAGTGTTCACTATCTCCTCCTCCTCCTCCTCTACATCTGTTTTATTAAACTTCTCCTTTAAGATCTAGCTCAAGTCTCAGTTGAAGACAACAGAAAACTCTAGGCATCTTTTGACATTTAGTGTGTCCTCTTCAGTGTAAATGGCTGTATTCACAACTAGATTGTCAGTTCCTAGAGGCAAAT